CAATAGTCTCTCCCGGAGCTGGTAGCTTCGGTGCTGCGCTGCTCGATGGTCTGGCGATCCTAATGTTCATTTCCATTCCCTGAAGGATGTGGGCCCAGGAAGAAGCATTCGGCAAGCCGTTTCGAGATATCCTTGGCCTCCTCTCCACTCCCAGTGCACGACTGAATTTGGGGCTCATACGTTGTTAATTTTTAGCTCCTTCCAGCAAATTTTGGTGTTTTCTATTTTGGCAGAGATTGCGTCCGTCCGTCTGCTGACTCTTTTTGGTTTTTGCGCAGATTTCGGCTCAGTTTTTCGCGTTTCCCTCCTCACACTTAATGATTTTATTGTCGTTTTTGTTAAGGAAAAATCGGGGCAACGCTCGTTGATACTATAAAACACAGGTGCAGTTGCTTGCTGAGCTAAGACCTATGCAGCATAACGAAAAGAAATGTGTTAACAGCTGCTAAATTGTTGTTTTCTCGCATATGCCCTGTAGGCTTCAGCCCCAATTTTGCTTCAGTATAAGCTAATAACATTACTCTTTCAGTGGCGTTTATAATGCTTCAAAGCCTATTAAATATCCTAAATATCACAGGAAAAATATTGAACCCAAGCTGGAATGCACCAGGCGGGTTGATGCAGTCATGCGTTTTTGCACTGTTTCGTGTTGTAGCAAGATCGCAAGGGATCATAACAGTTTGAGTTTATAACACACTGGTCCTAGAAGTTCGGGAAGTTAATTGTCCAACTATTTTGCATATCAGTTGTAGATGTCGGCTTCAGTGACTCGACAATGGAAAGTTGCTGGTGTACGAAGGAGAATTCACTAGAAAAGTTGAATTTGAAATCTTTTAGTCGAAAATGAGTTGGGAGCATTTCCTTAAAGTTAAAGCCTCCAAACCTCCAGCTTTCCTCGTTCCCGAGTCCGCTATATTCCCGCTAAAACTTTTACATGCCCGCACGCGAGTCCCGGACGGCTGAATTTGAAATGTTTCAGTCATACATAAATAGGGAACATATCCCTCTAGTTTCAGCTTTCCAGCTCTTATTTTCGAGTTAGCAATTTTCCCGCCAAAACTTTCGCGTTTCCGCATGTGGGACGTAGATGTACATGACAGTTGATGTCACGTTCCTGGGACCTCATTTGGCCAGGGAGCACCCTGGCAAAATCCCAGCATCAAAGCTTGCGTGATTGGCGAGTAGAAATACCCGGACAGATGAACAAACACACATACATACAGACAGGGCCGTTGCAATACACGTTTTTGCTGCCTGTTGCAGCGCTTCAGCGCTGCATGGCAAAACCGCATAGAAAGCGAAATCAAACTAAACTTGAACGAAATGAACCACTTGAGATTGCGACCAGTAAGTGGGCGATTTAAATTCTGATTTTAGAAGCAAAATGTAGCCAAACATGGTTGTTTGCGAGCATGAAGCGCCCGTACAATCACACACCCCCACACACACACATACACACACACACTGACTGATACATACACAGTGTGCTGAGCAGCAGCTGCACAAAACGCATATTGTCATGGAGTTATCTGTGAGTGCGTTTGTGTGTGTGCATCAGATGCATCTTTTCTGC